AAGGCCTGAAAGCCTTCTCACCTCACACATAAGGCCTGAAAGCCTCCTCACATCACACTCGAGGCCTGAAAGCCTCCTCACATCACACTCGAGGCCTGAAAGCCTCCTCACGTCACTCAACATATCCTCACATACGGCCCTCGGCCTCACTCAGTCCAGAAAACATCATAAACCCCTCGGGCATCAATAAAATAGTAGTGCCCAGCTCAAACAACAGTGGAAATATCATTTAAGTCTCAAAGTTCAATTAAAACGGCTGAGTTTGTAAAACAGTATAATCAACAGGACTGAGTTCAAGTAGTGTATCAAAATAGTGAGGAAACAGTGACAAAAATCCCCGAAGGGTTCAGATAATTGGCACGAAGCCCAAATATGGCAATCAGCCCAAATCATGATAATAATAAATAAGTTTCAGTCAAATACGCGGTAAAATCATCAATCGGGACGGACCAAGTCACAATCCCCCAATGGTGCTCTACCCCACGCTCGATATCCGGCGTGCAAGTCACCTCAATATAGCACTACGGTGTGCAATCCGGGGTTTCAAACCCTCAGGATATCATTTACAATCATTACTCACCTCGAACCGGCGAAATCTCTAGCTCGCGACGCATTTGCCTCTCAAATCGGCCTCCACGCGCGTCGAATCTATCCAAAATTAGAGCGAATACATCACAATAGGCTAAGGGAACAATACCCAATCGAAAATAATCAAAAAATATTAAAAATCTCGAAATTAGCAAAACCCGAGCCCCGGGCCCACTTCTCGAAACTCAGAAATTTTCACATCAATACGTTTCTTATCTCCTCACGAGTTCATACATACCAAAAGTTCTCAAATCCGACCCCAATTGGTCCTTCAAATCCCCAAATCAAATTTCAAAATCCCAAGCCCTAGTTTCTTCCATTTTTGCTTAAGTTCCATGAATTTCTAGGTGGATTTCACAATAAAAACGAGTTTTAAGACCAAAATTCTTACCTCAAGTCGTTTCCCCTCGAATCCCTCTTTAATCTCCACCAAGAAGCTCTCAAGATGATCAACCATGGAGGAAAAATGACCCAAAATCGCGGATGAAATGAAATTATAACATTCTGCCCAGCACTGTTCCTCCTTCATCGCGATCGCGACCCAAGTCTCGCGATCGCGAAGCACTAAATTTCCATATCTCAAATTAACACTATGCGAACGCGATGATGCTGCTGCGAACGCGATGCTTACTCCCAGGACCTTCCGCGAACGCAATGTTATAGACGCGAACGAGAAGCATAATGACTCAGGGGCCCAACTTCCTTCTACGCGAATGCGGGATCCAAACCGCGAACGCGAAGCTCTGGAACTTTACCTTCCGTGAACGCGGACCTACCTTCACGAACGCGAAGGCCAAATATGGCCTGCAACTGCTGCTGCATTTTCTGCATATTTTTCCAAGTTAAAACTTCCCGTTAGCCATCCGAAATCACCCCGAGGCCCCCGGGACCTCAACCAAAAGCACCAACACATCCTAAAATATCATTCAAACTTATTCCAATCATCAAAACACATCAAGCAACACTAAAATCATCAATTCTCACCGAATTCAAGCCCGAGTTCTTCAAAAACTTCCGAAACACGTATTTGATCAAAAACCCAACCAAAACACCTCCGAATGACCTAAATTTTTGCACACACATCCCAAATCACATAACGAAGCTGCAACAACTCTCGGAATTCCATTCCAACCGTCGGATCAAAATCTCGCCTATCGACTGGAAATCGCCAAAATACTAACTTCGCAAATTCAAGCCAAATTCTACACCGGACCTCCAAAATCACTTCCGATCACGCTCCTAAGTCATAAATCACCCAACGAAGCTAACCAAATCATAAAAACTCCGATCCGAGCTCGTATTCAAATAAGTCAACCATTGGTCAAACCTTTCAAATTCCAAGCTTTCAACTGAAATTGTTCTTTCAAATTCATTCCAAATTTTCCTGAAAACCAAAACCAACGATCTACATTAGTCACATTACATAACACGGGGCAAGTCATGCCCGAGAACTGGCGATCGAAGTGCAAAAGCTCAAAACGACCGGTCGGGTCGTTATAATATTATTTAACTTGTCAACTTTTTTTTGTAAACCACAAATTTTATGCCAATTAGGCAAGCAATGACTAATATGTATGAATAGAATAAATATTAAAAAAAGGTTAAATAGTTAAATTGGCCTGTAATTGAAGTAAACTGGTACTTAAAAAAGTTTCAATTTTTGAGCTCAACGATTAGGAAAAAACTCGTAGATGAACTTCAACAAAGACTACTTTTAAAACATAATAAATTTGTATCCATGCGCAAAGAAATTTTACTTTTTAGTAAAATTAATATTCCTTAAAATATTTATGATAAAAATGTGAAATACCATGTTGATTCTATAATAATTATTTTTTATGGATAAGAAAAAATATTTACCTACACCGATGAAACTATCAAAAAGGCTAGATGCAAGGACGCCAATTGCTCTACTCTGAAATAAAATAATGTTAGATCTTGTAATATGTATAATACGATCATAAAGAGTTAATCAAGATTATTTTTTCTTACAAAATATGAGCACCTTAAGCCGGCATAACAATTAGTAATTATTAATAAATTTTAAAATACAAGGTAACAATTAATCTTGAATTGATATAGTTAGAATATCTAACTGATTTTTTATTACGGAATGCAATGCTCCAAACTTACACAAAATTTGTAAATGGGTCAATTTTGATTGTATATGAGATATTGTAAATAAAAATCACAATTAATAACTTTTTAATTTACAATTGTCTATCAAAAACACATGAACGATTTGATGGATTATAATAAGCAGCGGAAGCAATCCCAGTATCTTATTCACGTGCAATCTAAACAACTAGCACATATGGAGATTTTCGGATTACCTCTTGAAGCGTAAACATAGCAAATCTATGTCGTTCTCCAGTTCCTCAGTTGAAAACGCACCAGCAGATTTCCACAGTCTTCTACTGTGTTACCCAAACAATAACCGAAAATAGAGAATTTTGGGTGGGCAAAATTCTAGCAGAAACCGCAGTAAGAATAGTAAAAAAAACGTCCAGCCCCTATATCCATATATATAGCTGCGTTTTTTAGGTCAAAACCATTTTCAAAACCTGTTAGGTTTCCTTCTCCCACTAAGGGACGGTTTTCACGTTTTCTTTCCCACTAAGTAACAGTTTCCACTATTTCCTATTATTTAGGCATAGTAGGGACCACAAAATTTAATTAACAAGGCTTCCTATTATGTTATTAATTTCGAAATTCTGAAATTAATTTCCATCATAATAAACTACGAATTATTCCACTAAAAATTCGTAATTGCACTGAGTTTCCATTCCTTTGCTAAGTTCCTGTAAAACGAGTTTACTTCTAGGAACATGGTTCATCAAATAGTCCTCTTCTAGAAACTTGGCATTTGTGCTAACAATTACCTTTTTCTCTTTAGGACAATAGAATAAACCACCTTTCGTCCCTTTTGGATAACCTATAAACACGCATACATCCGTTCTTGCCTCCAATTTATCCTTTTTCCCCTTTAGCACATGTGCCGGACAACCCCAAACTCGAATATGCCGCAGACTAGGCTTGCGCCCAGTCCACAATTCTGTAGGGGTCAAGGGTACTGACTTTGAAGGAACTAAGTTCAGAACGTAATTCGCCGTTTCTAAGGCATGTCCCCAAAAAGACGAAGGCAAATCGGAATAACTCATCATTAATCTAACCATTTCCATAAGAGTCCTGTTTCTTCTTTCAGCTACACCATTTTGTTGTGGAGTTCCAGGTGCAGATAATTGAGATGTAATTCCACATTCTGATAAATAACCAATGAAGTCCGTAGAGAGGTACTCCCCACCACGATCAGATCGTAGTGTCTTGATATGTTTATTATGTCGCTTTTCAGTCTCAGTCTTGAATTCTTTGAACTTTTCAAAACATTCAGACTTTCGACGCAACAAATAAATATATCCATATTTTGAGTAATCATCTGTGAAAGTCATAAAATATTCAAAACCACCTCTTGCTTGGACATTCATTGGACCAGACAAATCAGAATGAATTAACTCTAATTTATCACTTGCCCGATTTCCTTTTGAGGGGAAATTTCGTTTTGTTATTTTTCCTTCTAAACAAGATTCACAAGTTGGTAGTGCCTCCACTTTCAATGAACTTAAAGGTCCATCCTTGACCAACCTGAAAATTCTGTTTAGATTTATATGACCCAAACGCAAGTGCCATAAATATGTTTCACTCAATTCAGAAGAACGTTTTCTCTTACTTGGTAAATCAACATTATTCAGTTCTTTAGGTGGTAACGGTTTAGGAATAGAGTCAACTATAAAAAGACCATTAATCAATGTAGCCGAAGAGAGATAACGCTTATTATGAGTAATAACACATTTATCAATGTCATGACAATTAAAATCATAACCATCTCTCATAGCGCTAGAAACCGAAATTAAATTCCTTCTAACGGAAGGTACATATAATGCGTCTTTTAAAGCTAAAACTCTACCACTACCAAACGAAATACTAATATTTCCTAATGCTAAAGATGGGGCTGCTGAACCGTCTGCTTGATAAACATTGATTTCTCTTCTACTTAGCCGTCGCGTTACCTGAAACCCCTGCAAATAAGTGCAGATATGATTAGTGGCTCCCGAATCTACACACCATGACATGGTAGAAACAGCCGCTAAAAATGTTTCAACGACAAGTAGATGTAAATCACCTGGTTTATTTTTCAGCTTGGCCAGATAAGTTGGACACTGCTTCTTATGATGCCCGGGCTGCTTGCAGTGATAACACTTGCCCTTAGCCTTTTTCACACCAGCAGTTGCGCCACCAACAGAGGGTTTTTGAGCCTTTTTCTTTTTCTGCCCGCCTCTCCCCTTAGAAGAATAACCTGCCTCAAAATTCAATGCCACGGGAGGAGCTTGGGACTTGATAATAGTCTCTGTCGACTACAGCTCATTCAGCAATTTCGCAAGGGACAAATCCATTTTGTTCATATTATAATTCAGGCAAAACTGCTGAAAACTGTCATGCAAAGTCTGCAGGATCATTTCAACATGCGTGTCCTTATCAATGTTAGCTCCAAGGACCTCCAGTTCATTCAGAAGACTCATCATCTTCAGAACATGGTCCCTGACCGATGAACCTTCAACCATTTTGGTATTCAGAAGGGCTTTCATGGCAGTCTGCTTAGCCGCACGATTCTGATCTCCGAACATTTCTTTGAGATTTTCCAGAATGTCATAAGCAGACTCCATCGACTGATGCTGATGTTGCAGAACATTCGACATGGAGGCCAAAATGTAACACCGCGCCATCTCATCAGCCTTAATCCATTTCTGGTAAGCCTTTTGTTCATCATCTGTGGCATCATCTCCAGGTTTTTCTGGACACACCTCAGCGAGCACAAATTTGTACTCTTCAGCAATTAGAACAATATCCAAATTTCGTTTCCAATCAACATATTCTGGACCCTCAAGTGTGTTTTGAGTAAGAATGGTCATACTCAGATGGAGAGTAAACTGTTAATTTAAGCCAAGTGAATATCAACATTCAACATATATTAGTCCCATTGAACCAACATGCATACTTAGATGGAGAGTAAATACAAATAATCAATGATTAGTATAACACAGTGATTATTCATAATATTTTTATCCGATATGGAAAAAGACCTACGTCAATGTGTAAAAATATTATATCACTGATTTTTACCCCGGGGACCAAGGGAATTGATCCCCACAATTACTAGGAATTAAAAACAACAAAAAAAATTTCAGAATTTTAGAAAAACAGCAAAAACACCATCTAAACGACCCCGAAAGCCTAAAAAACGACTTAGGTCATGAATCCATGAGTATTGCTCACTGGGCCGTTTCGCATGGACCTGCCAAGTTTCAGGTCAATCGGAGTCCGTCAACTTTTTGACCTCCGATTTTCTGCCCTAATTCGGCAAAACTTGTTTTTCCGTTTTACATGATAAAATTTAACTTTCTGATTATTCTAACTCAACCTCACCAATATTAAAAGGATAAATCAAGTTTTCAGAATAATCAATACAACCCATAACAGATAATCACGCCAAAACAGAGCAGGTTTTTAGAAAAACAAGCTTTGCATGATTATATTTAATCTTGTGCTACAATCATTCCCATAATCAAGATAAATTATATTTAATCTTGTGCTACAATCATTCCGATGATTTGTCCAATTCCATCATTAGATTGTGAACATTAACTTTTATGTCTTACAAGAACCGATGATTTAATCTTTCGTGTATAAGCTAAACTCTATACACTAAATCATCTACTATGTAAGCAATGGACACACAAACCAACACATGATCTATTTAAAATGAAACTTTATTGAATTTAAACAAGTAAATAAATAATTGGTCATAAAGAATACTATAACAATACGCATGGCTTATAGTATATTCTAACACGATTATTATTACATAACTTCAAGAACATACTAATGGTTAAAAAGCTTAAATCAAATTAAGCAAACTTACCTCCAAAGACAACGACATTGTGAAGAGTTTATGATAGGCAATTGCTAATCAATACTTGCTAAATTCGTAAGAGGAAAATTCAATAGTCGAATTCTTCTACGAACCCACGAAATTTGAAGAGCTTCTTCCGACAGCCAAATGTTTGATACCTATAATAATTAAGATGAAAATAAAAGTTGTTAAGAACAGAAAGATACATAACGAAAATAAAAGGCTACTAGCAAAAGATTTGTAGCCTAAGGCAGTTTTGGTAAAAGGATCGCAAACTTAAACAAAGAAAGACACAACTTCCTACCTAAACAAAGAAAAGCAATATCCCACAAAAAAGGCAATAAATAATTATTTTTGATTTTTTCTTGCTTGGCGTAATTTATATGTACGTAGAATAATGGAAAAAATTTATAAACGAATTATTTGAATTGTATACGATAAATTTAATTGATTTTGATGTCCTAAATATTAGAAATTATTTTGTGTTGTTGTTCAAATAAGGAAAAATTTTATAAGTAAAGTTTTAGTTGACTTTAAATGCTAATGCTAAATATTAGGAGAATAAATAAATGACTATTTTGTCTAATGTGAACTCTATTTTAAAAGGGTAAAAAAGACGAACGACATTTCGCTAAGGGCCTTCGTGCTTTTAATATAACTAGGCTCTATGTTCGTGCGATGCACGAAATATCTGTCATGGGCGGCTTTCCAGCCATGCCCCATGACCCCTTGGGCGCGCCCCGTGGCGTCCTAGCAAACCTCCCAATGCCTAGCGCCACGGACGGTCCCGTGGTCTTGGCCGCGCCAAGTGACAAGCGCGCAGGTGCCTCTGTCGCCCCACCGATATCCCTCGCGAGCGCCAAGCCGCAGGCAGAAGCCAACAGCGCCGCACGCGCAGACAACGCCGCGCGCGCAGACCGTGATGCCAAAGACACTGCTGCTGACAACGGACCTGCTACTGCCTTATAGAAAACTAAGTCATTTTCATTGTAAATATAGAGTAGTTTTATTTCATGTACTTCCATTATGTTTCTCTAGCTTAGTTAAGTCTAGTCTTGTAACTTTGGATTATTTTTTAAGTACTATTAGGGGGGATCAAGCAATCAAAACTTTCTAGCAAGCAAGCAATTCTCTGTACTGGTGTCTCTCCCCCTCGACACCGCGTTGCTTTTCTGTAATAGCTTTCATTAATGCAATCAAGCTTTCTTTCATTCTGAATTCTCATTTCTGTTCTCTCAATTGCTCTTGACATTGGTTTTCCCGTACGGCACTGACAATCTCGTCTAGCGTACGGAGGGGACCTCAGTTGGCGAACAGCAACTGCACTGACATCAGTTGCCTAGCCTTACGTCGCCCTTCCAAGGAATCTCAGGAAGGCGCCGCGTGACAGTTGGTATCAGAGCCTAGGTTCGACATCGGACGAGGGAACGTATTGACATACCACCATTTCTGACCATGGTGAATCATGGGGACCGCATTGTGGCCCTCGAAGGGACGGTTGAGGTAGTGCGGCCTATTATGGATACGGTGCCTGAACTAAGAACCAGCCTCATGCAAAGGTTGGACGACCTGGACCACAGGGTGCTTCAGGTCGAAGTTGACGTTGAAAACATCAGTCGCGACTCCGATGGAGACCGGCAGACGGCAGCCACAGAGGAAGCCGAAATCTTTGAGAAATTCGAGGGGCTCCAACAGGAGCGCACCGAGGATTTAGCCCACAGGGCACAAGAGGCAGAAAAGGTGACTGTCATGCAACAAACCATTGACAAATTGACAGACCAACTCAATGTTGTCAACGCTGC